TTAAAAATAGAATTCAAAGCGTATCCATTGAAAACAGATCATCTTGTACTTATTCTGTTAATTATGGGGTTCCTCAAGGGTCCATTTTGGGACCAATATTGTTCTTGCTATATACAAACGATCTTCCAGACTACCTTAAAGAAGTTGATGTAACTCTCTACGCTGATGATACTTGCATTGGTACAGCAGGAGTAACTGCCGACCTTGCTTTCAACGCCAATCAAAATTCTATGAAGAAAGCCGCAGAGTGGTTCAGTGCAAATAGACTCCATTTAAATAAAACAAAATGTGTCTCAATGCTTTTCACATTAAGACCCTGCCAATGTTCCATCGACTGTGCGGAATATACAAAGTACTTAGGAGTCATTATCGATAAGGAACTTACTTGGTGTCAGCACGGTAATTATATGTCAGATAAAATTTCAAAAAATACCTTCCTTTTAAGAAATTTGGCTAATAATCTTTCTTTAAACTGTTTATGTATGGCCTATTATGCTCTGATACACTCTCTTCTCAATTATTTCATTTTAGTCTGGGGGCACTCATCATCTTTATCACGACTCTTTAAACTACAACGAAGATCAATCAGAATAATAGCTAATATAGGATACAGAGAAGATTGTAGAACGTACTTCAAGTCACTAAAAATACTCACACTTCCTTCGCTTTATATTTATCGATGTTTGGAATTTATTACTCGGCATACAGATTTATATCCCAAAGTCAACCTCTATCACAACTACAGGACTAGACACGAGGATATTTGTTTCAGAAACTTGCGTCTCACTAAGTCGAGGGATGCCATTAATTATTTTTGCATAAAATTTTTGAACCCTGCCTGACGAAGTACGTAGATACAACAGTCATGATTTTCTAAAAAATGTGAAACAATATTTGATACGAAAGGCATTTTATTCATTAGATGAATACCTAAATAATAATTTTAAAGACCTGGTGTTACTATCTAGTGGTGCTTAATTTATTATATAGTAGATCATATATATTTATAGAGTTAATTCTAATTTGTTTCTTTAAAAATTGTTATTTATTTTTATAAAATTATGTTCGATGTATTTACTAGCTTATTCTGACGCGTGTAAATTTTTTTATTAGCACAAATAAAGATTTATTATTATTATTATTATTAAAGAACTGTCAATTTTGTTGTATGTAGCTTTCAATAACACCCTGTATTTCAGTCATTTGATAAAACTGTCGAATAAAATTATCACTTGTAGGTATATTATAAAATCATAGAAAATATTTTCAGCAGGTGTATTATCAAATTCACTAATTAACAATGTAGGAACAACCCCATGTTCCAAAAGAATAACTAACTGCCACTTGTTCGGTTTTCTGCTGCACTCATTCAGTTTATGTTGTGTTTGCTCAATTGAGGAAATTAGATGTTTAGATTAGATTGCCGTTTGTATATTAAGCCGGTAAATCGAACAAGCTAACTACAAAACTCAAACGCGATGTCCATTCTATCATCAAATCGAAATCGGTATGAGAACCACCGATTTAGCAATTACGCAGTACAGCATATTCATTCCGGGAATGGTGCGATCAATGACATATGAATCCAAGATCGAACACATATTCCAAGTCTAGCGCTATAATGTCCCGATCGGGCATCATGTGCAGATAGGTAGGTATGTGGGTTTATAATATATACAGTTTGATCGGTGTCGCAATCAGGGCTTATTTCATTAGCTCCCCTTGTTAATTAGAGCTCCCATGTAACGAGATGAACTCCCGAACCACACAGACCCCAATTATAGTGAAGTAAAGGTATAGAGTTACACCTATATCAACATGAATTAGTTTAGAGGTTTCTCTCAATACAGCGCCAACGGAGTCTGAGAATGACACCCCTAGTCCTCTACGAATCTACCATTGCCGAATTTCCAATGTTAATCTTGTCTAATAATTCATGCTAATTGCTCTCGACCCACAACCGTCACTTGAACAAACCCTTCGTTTTTTAATTTACTGAAAAAACGTGTTCCAACATACCCTAGTCCTATTGATTTTGCAATTAAATGTGGCAGCATATTAAAACTGATCGCGGAATTTTCAGTCACGGGTAAATATTGACTTTAGATAAATTTCATCCGCTGCTATACATTGCAGACAAATGTTCTCATCTCTTTGCAACGGATTAATCTAAGTTTTATAATTTTAGCATAAACGGCTGTTTACTTACGATTTGCAAGTTGCTGCGTCTACAGAAACGAAATTAGAGTACAAAAACAAATTTAAGATTACATTTTGCAATTAAGTGTATCAGATGCTAGCTTCGAACTGTCGCATACAGGTGCTGTAAACCAGTTTACTATAACAATAGAGGCAATAATTGCCGAGTTTAAACACGTATATTGCTGCGACCCGTGATTAACTTGTAATTAATGAATTTAATCTAAACACTGATCATTGTTGTGGAATTCATAACGGAGACAATGGGAATTCCTCCGCAACAATGTTAAGGCAATAATTCTTACCTTCGTTTTTGATCGGGACTGCCATCTATGTTGCGGCGTACCAAACAATTTACCGGAGCAGGAATCGATGCAGCTTTCGTAAGCGTGCCACCTCTACGCGCTTTCGTTAAGTTTTCGGGGAGCCAACATAAATCTAAATATAGTAACCTCTACTACGCATAGTTGAAGTAGGTTTACAGTGAACTTTTTCCGCTTGCATGACCAGCATTAATTATAAAAATATTTTGACGCACCGATTAAAGATGACTCTATCATTCTCAGTGTAACGTGTAACTAAGAAACCAAAGCGAAAAAAGTTTATGATTATTTGATACAACTCCCAAATGAAAATCAAGCCAAACCATTACGGTTTGTACCATCGCAACAGTGCAAGTCTTTATCGACGATCTAATATTTTTTTTGCAGTTCACTCTAACTAGTTATATTCTAAATTTACTGACATCTCAAATGAACGTTCTGTTTATGATTTTTAGTAATCAAGAACTCAAAACAAAAAACGAATTTCATATATTTTTTTCATGTAGGGTTTACTTTCCAGTGATGTTTTATTTTTATTTTTAATGCTCGGATTTGTACTGTTGTGTTTATCAAAAGTCTTAAAAAAGGTCGACCTATGAGAGGAAAAAAGAGGTAACATAAAATTAGCTAATGAGACGTGTACTGTTACCGTTCCGACCCATTCGTGCATAATTACAAATTTTACTCACCGACAATCTCATTTAAAAGTTACATGTACACAAAAAACTCTGAAACATATTTAGTAACGAAATGAATTAAGACTGCAGTTTACTAAATTGCTTGTAACATATTTGAGATTTGCCGTAAAACAAAATAGAATAGGTAACTGTTTAGTAGATTCTGACAGCTTATCAGTTTTCCCAATTTAATACCAAGATTTAACTTTCTGTTTGTGATAAATTCATAATTAAATTTAATTAGCCAAAGTTTTTGATGCGGCGAATGAACAACCTTCATTTATAATTGACTGACATTATAAACCTACACTTCAAAATTTAAAATGAAGTCTTTTGTAGATTTAAAGGTTCCAACATAAAAACAGACAGTTTTATATCAAGTTCTCCATCTCCTGATCGCAAATTCTGAAGGTAAAAAAGTATCGAATATTTTTTTTTAACAGGACGTTTCTGTGTAAACGAAACACCTCGAACTCCATTTGATGTTTCGTTTTAAAAAAAAATTCCTGGAACAGGTTAATTTATGTTTTTAAAGGGACACATTTCATATTCCCTGTAATTTGTGCTTGCACAACTGTTTAAAAAATGATGAAAATTGGTAGTTAATTATCATTTACATGAAAATGAAAACACATCTTTCTTACGCATTGAACATGTTATTTTTTCGTGTACACAGTTTTTAAAAGTTTAAAATAGAATTTCAAAAATCTTTTTTGATTTATGATAATCATGTCAGCGTAAAATTCTTCAATTACCGTAACAACATGCCTGCCTGCCTGCATGGATAATTTCTAAAGATTTTTGTATTTTTGGCCAAGCTGCAGAAGTAATTATTAATTTAGTACAAAACAGAAGTATGAAAACTGTTACAAATACTAAATGAGTGGAGGAGGATAAAAAATACAAATGAAGCAAATGAGACAGTGATGGCGCTTTTCTGTATTATTTTCTATAAAAAAATTAAATGATCAAAGGAACTTACCTTAAGTGAAGTTCGATCATAATTATGCTAGGCATCTGGCTCGAAGATATCATAAGAGAAAACATGTAGTATCGCTTTCCGGTACTGCTGTGGCACTAGGTTTAAAGAGTGGAGAAACTCTGGTAGACTCTCCTCTCCCTCCACAATCGGTGCGGTATGGGTTCATTACTTTGAAGGGATTTGTAACAATCATAACTAGCAGGTAAATGTTGATAAGTACGACCATCACATTTAGGGTTTTGGGGCGGGTTATGATATCTTCGAGCCAGATGCCTAGCATAATTATGATCGAACTTCACTTAAGGTAAGTTCCTTTGATCATTTAATTATGCGGCGGCATCTGGCTCTCGTATATCATAAGAGAAAACATGTAGTTGTTTAAAGAGTTAGATTGTTACACCACTGGGTACTATGTCCGGTTGTCAATAATACAGTGTGGCCAGTTTTCTGGGACAACTGTTTCAAGGGCCAGTTATCAGTGAAGAAATTTCCCAAATAGTCCATAACGATTTGGAGGTCCCAAGTGAAACGCTATTTCCTTTCAGATGGTCTTAGCTGGGAAATACCCTTCATGAATCGTTTAACGAGAGGGTCAGCCCCGATGTCGTAATTCAGAGTTAAAGTGAGCGCCGAGCGGTGGCTGTTAAATGTTCCATCTGCAACCTGTAGCGTCCAGTACGTGCTGAAGAAAAACAAGAACTTGATTGGGCTTAGCCGAAAACATCGGCACCTTGTGTTCAATGCAGTAAGACCGCCACATTTTCCACGTAGAATTATATTGTAATATTGTTGACTTGGCCACCGAATGGATGATGGTATTTATGGCTTCCTCAGGGACATTTCGGAAACTAAATGCTTGGCTGATAAAAGTCCTGCCACCATGGTAAGCTGAGTTGACAGGGGGTGTGGTCGACTGCAAGGTAAAGATAACAGACCTGAACTTGGCGCAAACGTAGAGGCTCTTGTGTAAGTAACTTCAAGAAAATGGAATGCCAAGGTTGTGTGGGCCAGAAAGGCACAACCATAATGCCCTCCGCTTGGGCATTCACAATTCTGTTGAGGCATCTCAAAATTAAACAAAATGGAGGGAAGGCGTAAAAGAAGAAGCCTGTCCATGGAATTGTGAAAGCATCGACATGTTCTGATTCGGGATCGCGCAGTAGAGATACGTATCTTCGACACTTGTGGTTAGCTTTAGAAGCAAAGAAATCAATTTGTGGAGCACCAAATCGTAACGTGATTTGGTTGAAGGCTCCGTCCGACAACTCATATTCGGTTTCCTCGGGAAGCCTGCGTGATGTCGTGGGGATGTTCGTTCACGGCACGCAGCTCGTGACCCGAACTTGTTGAAGGTTCGTCCGCGCCACGCAGCACGCGACCCGAACTTCCGAATCTGCTACTGTATCTTTCCCCGAGTTAATCATTGAAGCAAAAAACCATAAATTTCTTTCTTCGCAAAATTCCCAAATATCTCTTGCTAGGTTAGACAGCGCTGGGTATTGTATACTGCCCATGCGGTTTATGTATGATAATACAGTTGTATTATCCGTTCTGATTAAAATGCTGCAAGATTCTTTATACTTTGCAAGGGATTTTAATGCGTAAGCAATTGCCAAGAGTTCTAGATAATTTATGTGATGTTGTGATTCAGTAGCAGTCCACCAACCCTGTGTCTTCTCTTCGTCGCAACAGACTCCCCAGCCAGTAAGAGACGCGTCAGTATAAATTACAAGGTCGTAGTTGTCAAAACGTATGTCATTATGAGCGTTTTGAATTGCTGATTCCCACCATAAGAAATCATTCTGCAGGGTTGAAGAACGGGACATGTAGGTGTCATAATTCATATGGTGATCTCTTAACGCTTTGAACTTCTCCCGCTCGGATGCTTTAGTGTACATTAGTCCGTACTTTATCGCCGGACAGGCCGATACAAGTGTCCCTATAAACTGGGCAAAAAACCCTAATTGAACAGCGGCTTCGGCTTTTGAAATCGCGAATCATATTAAGAGTCTTCTTGCGCTTTTCTAGAGGAAGGGAAATTGTCATGGTGTGGCTGTCCAAGATGAAAACCGAGAATTTGCATCTCTGTGATGGAATAGTTTGGGATTTATCCCAATTGATTAAAAACCCCAATGAAGTTAACACCTGGGCAACCACAGACACATTTCGAGAGCAAGCATCCCACGAGTACCCAAAGATGAGAAAATCGTCCAGGTAGATCACGCAACAAATGCCACGAGAGCGTAAACTGGATGCAATAGGGCGTGTGAGCTTTGTAAAAACCAAATGGCATACAAGTGAATTCATATATTTAATTGGCCAGGATGTTCGAACCGAAGATATTTTCGATGTTCAGTGTCTACGTTTATCAGAAAATAGGCATCCTGCAGGTCAATCGTAGACATGTAGCAGCCCTTTTGCATTAGCCGGGCGGCTGTTCGGTGATCTTCCATTTGAAGATGAGAAGTGGCCACAAATGTATTTAGTTGCTTAAGATTTAAAATGAAACGATCTTTCCCATTCGGTTTTTTGACTAGAAAAATTGGGGAAATGAACTGATCGTTGCGCGGCAGGCATTTGCGGACTGCGCCCTGAGCTAACAGGTGCTGGACGGCGCGGGTGATTTTTCCCTTTTCGGAGACAGAAGAATTTTGGCGCCTGGGAGTAAAGCGTTGCTGAACTTCCCGAGAAAAGGGAATTTTATACCCTGCTATCGGTCCAGCAACGTTCGACTAGTAGAGATTGACCGCCATACTGAATGAAAATTCCGCAGGCGGCCTGCTATGTGTGGTACCTGTGTTAATGGTGGTGCCTTTCCCGTTGCTGGGTGTACGAGGGAGTTTTCGGTCCTTTTTGTGTGCCCCCCCCCCCCTCCGTTGACGAGACGGACCTGGCCGGTTTAAACTCTGGCGATAGGAACCGTGCTGTTGTTGGGTCGTGCGGTAAGCCGGCGTCGAAGTGTGACAACCTATTTCACCTGCAGCATCGAATGCAGCCGAACCAGGCGTTGCCTTGCCACGCAGGCGACGGCCAACGTCGTCGTGGGGATGTTCGTTCACGGCACGCAGCTCATGACCCGAACTTTTTTTAAAAGGTTCGTCCGCGGCACGCAGCACGCGACGATTTTTAGATAAGCAAAACATCAGGTGGGTAAACCTTGCCCGGCTTGGGTGAGAAGCGGCAAAACTTGACTTGCGGAGGTGTTGTGATTTGTAATAATTTCATTAATGCTTTTTCCCCAGGAAGCTAGGCCCCTGGCCCAACTGCGCTTGAGCGGCGCACCGAGAGTCGTCACGGGTTTGATTTGGGCCCGACAAAATAGTTCTGACGATCGGATTCAGTTTTGATGGGATTAATAAGAATTCGCCATTAGACGGGATGACAACGTCTTTCAAAAGGGTCGATTTTTTGGCCGGATCTAAGCCCTGGCAGCAAATTCTTTTCCAGCTGGCTGACAAGGTCGAGCGAAACTGATACGGGGCCGCTGCTGATGGGCCGGTCTCACCGAGCATTTCCGGTACGTGCGGATCGAGCGCCACGTCATCGTGTTCCTGGAAATACCGGCTGTGCAGCGTCAAGGTTAGCTTCTCGATCGTTCAAGTGCGTAGGTTCAGACTGCACGGATTGGTTAGAATTGTCAACCTATTTTACCTGCAGCATCGAGTGCAGCCGAACCAGACGTTGCCGTGCCACGCAGGCGACGGCCAACGTCGTCGTGGGGATGTTCGTCCACGGCACGCAGCTCGTGACCCGAACTTTTTTAAAGGTTCGTCCGCGGCACGCAGCACGCGACCCGAACTTGGGGAATACCTTGGGGGACTTCGATGTCTTCGCAATCGTTTCCAAAGCTCTCGGCGGTCGTCCTCTGACCTGGAGGAAGAGCGATGACGACGTTTGCGGTATTTGTGATGACCCATTGTTCAGTCACAGGCGACGAGCGGACGTGCGACGTGCCAAGCTCGAGCACTAGAAAACGAATGAACCCATACCGCACCGATTGTGGAGGGAGAGGAGAGTCTACCAGAGTTTCTCCACTCTTTAAACCTAGTGCCACAGCAGTACCGGAAAGCGATACTACATGTTTTCTCTTATGATATACGAGAGCCAGATGCCGCCGCATAATAGCAATTTTCTCTTGACTACACGAAGAAACCTGCTTATCATTACATTACTTTTACTACTTTTACAACTTCAGCTTGAGGAGTGTTGGGAGAGGGTTGTGACGATCGTCTAATTTTATATTTTTTCTCCATTTTATTGCTTGTCCAAGATGTCGTCTGTTTATCTGTCGTCAATAATTTACTAAATAGACCAGTTACTATAAAATATGAAATAATAAAACGTTAACTAAAAATTTGTTGACGTCATCACAAAATTTGAATAAATAAATAATATTCACCTGCGGTTTAATAATATTCGACTACAAAATGAAATTTAACTAAATGTATAAAATTTGGTAACAATTGGGACGGTCATTCTGTCTAATAAAAACTGACACACAGGTCAGACAGACGGAAACAGGAGACCAATTTTTTCGTATTCTAGGGGTCTTCAAACGTCGAGAAAACATGAAAGTAGCAAGTCGCGCGATGGACTCGATTACTATACTTCCTTAGCTTAGCCCAGGGGGTCATTCATATGTGTATGTGTAATATCTTCGATTGGAAATGATAATGACACAGGTGAAAAGTACGTAAGCACAACATCAGAAAGCATTTTTTTTTCGAATTGGTTTCACAATTATCGCTATCCTTTCTCCATCTAGTGGAGTGATTTCCTGCACGCCGCCCTCTGCATGTCCTTCTTCCACACGATTGTTGTGTCTGTGAGTTTGTTTGCGACGTATGAAGTCGCGAATAAACAAGTTAAACAATATGAATTTATTTTGGAGATTCTTCTGCATTCATTAATGTAACGTAGAATTTTAGTTCTGTCTGTAACATCCATTGCAGTGATTGATGTATCATACTGATAACCAGAGACGTGAAATTTTAGTTCATGCGACTCCCACGACTTTCCTTCAATAGCGCGGGCTGTTATTGTTTCGCTTCGCCCACCGCTGCATATTCGGTTGCGCGACACTGGACTGGCAATGATAATGAGTAGTGGGAGAACTTTTCGAGCGCACGAACTAATTTTGTCCGTCTTTACTGATAACAATGGAAAACTATGAATTGTTATAAAGCACACGGATAAGTGTGATTAATAATAACAGTATCTATTGTATTCTCACACTGTAGAGACAATCGGATGCCTTTTTGTTTTGATGGGGAAAAATATTGCAACGCTGTAGGATTCATACTCGGAACTTCCACTTGGAAAGCAACTCTCTAGGTCTTACACCCATAACGCTTAGCTTACGGAGTTGTGTATGACGTGGCAAAAGAGAAGGAAACCCTGTATGACCAAATCTAAAAAATATGAATGCAATGATAAATTACAAGTATAGATTGATCATATTTTGCACAGTTTAGCTAAGATTTACTCAGCAAAATTTTGAACTGATGTCGTCAATTTTGTTGTTTTATATTTTTTTTTTCCAAAAATCTGAACATTTCGGGTAAAAACTCAATACGGAATCATAAACTACTCGTATATGTGTAGACGATGTTATTTCATACAATTTAAAACCCATTTACTATAATAATAATAATAAATCTTTATTTGTCCTAATTAAAATTTTTACACACGTCAGAAGAAGCTAGTAAATACATCGAACATAATTTTATAAAAATAAATAACAATTTTTAAAAGAAACAAATTAGAATTAACTCTATAAATATATATGATCTACTATATAATAAATTAACCACCACTAGATAGTAACACCAGGTCTTTAAAATTGTTATTTAGGTATTCATCTAATGAATAAAATGCCCTTCGTATCAAATATTGTTTCACATTTTTTAGAAAATCATGACTGTTGTATCTACGTACTTCGTTAGGCAAAGTGTTCAAAAATTTTATGCAAAAATAATTAATGGCATCCCTCGACTTAGTGAGACGCAAGTTTCTGAAACAAATATCCTCGTGTCTAGTCCTGTAGTTGTGATAGAGGTTGACTTTGGGATATAATTCTGTATGCCGAGTAATAAATTCCAAACATCGATAAATATAAAGCGAAGGAAGTGTAAGTATTTTTAGTGACTTGAAGTACGCTCTACAATCTTCTCTGTATCCTATATTAGCTATTATTCTGATTGATCTTCGTTGTAGTTTAAAGAGTCGTGATAAAGATGATGAGTGCCCCCAGACTAAAATGGAATAATTGAGAAGAGAGTGTATCAGAGCATAATAGGCCATACATAAACAGTTTAAAGAAAGATTATTAGCCAAATTTCTTAAAAGGAAGGTATTTTTTGAAATTTTATCTGACATATAATTACCGTGCTGACACCAAGTAAGTTCCTTATCGATAATGACTCCTAAGTACTTTGTATATTCCGCACATTCGATGGAACATTCGCAGGGTCTTAATGTGAAGAGCATTGAGACACATTTTGTTTTATTTAAATGGAGTCTATTTGCACTGAACCACTCTGCGGCTTTCTTCATAGAATTTTGATTGGCGTTGAAGGCAAGGTCGGCAGTTACTCCTGCTGTACCAATGCAAGTATCATCAGCGTAGAGAGTTACATCAACTTCTTTAAGGTAGTCTGGAAGATCGTTTGTATATAGCAAGAACAATATTGGTCCCAAAATGGACCCTTGAGGAACCCCATAATTAACAGAATAAGTACAAGATGATCTGTTTTCAATGGATACGCTTTGCGTTCTATTTTTAAGGTAACTCATAATCAGATTTATACTCGGTGGTTGGAAATTATAGTAATATAATTTTCTTAACAGAATATCGTGAGTTACGCAATCAAAAGCCTTACTGAGATCTAAGAAATGG